GTGTTTCTGCTGTGAAAGAAGAAAGACAAATCTGACAATACAAAAAACCTATGAATTTAAATGGTGAATATATGCAACACATCATGATCATTTCTGAACGTAACGATAGTAAGAATTTAATTGTAAAAAATTATAATAAAATATATATAATATAAAATATACAATATATAATAACATATATATATATATATATATATATATATATATATATATATATATATAATATATAAAATATATAATAACACATATATAATATAAAATATAAAACAAAATAATAGTAATAAATAACCAATAGATGTATGCATGCATCGAGAATAGGTAAATCGTATCATTTATGTAAGATCTTATCCTTTATTATATGTATAAATAAAGGTAGCAACTATCTGATTGTTTTTTGGACAGGGATTGGAATAGGATGGCTTTGAATATGGATATGAAGAGAAAATGCCGAATTTTGATAGGGAGGAAATCTCAGAAATTGACAAAGCTATCAATAAAGGAGTTTTGGATATCCATACTTATCCTATTAAAACTATCCATTTTAGGGTATCTCTCTTTGTTCTGATCTGTTTTCTGAGAATTGGAAATGAGGTTCAGTGTCATAGTATAACATTAATTTTGTTGGGTTTCTTAAAAAACAAAAAGATTAATTGATGACCGAAAAAATATTATAAATTTTCCTAAATTCCTATTAATAGAAATAAATAACAAAACATCGATTTTTTTATGTCGATTTACTATAGGCAATATAGATGTTTGACTTTTAATATTTTTGAACATCGATATATCAGTGCTTTTTGTCATCGTGGGACATGACCTACGATGGTATTTACAATATAGAGATTCAATGGAGCACCCAGGCCACCATCTTTGGAAAACCCCTAACATATAGAAACCTAGATCTGTATTTCAGGTAAAAACCTAGATCTAACTAAAATCTAGATCTGGAATTAGAAACTTAGATCTTCGCAAGACTGAAACGACAAGAAACCGCTCGACGTTTCCGATTACTTCAGCACTTACTTGACAAACGCTCTAAACTTCCCATTAATTACAAAAGACTCATATACTTGACTATAATAAGACCTATTTGGACTTACGGAGTTGAGCTATGGGGCTCCACTAAACCATCGAATTCCTCTCGCATCCAGTCCTTACAATCCAAAATCCTCGTAAAATCCTCAATGCTCCTTACTTTGTCACTAATAAAATTATCCATAAAGATCTTAATGTTCCTTATGTTTCAGATCTGGCCCAATCCAGATACCTATCCTTCCATAATAAACTTCAGAATCATCCCAACCCTCTCGTTTCTAATCTTGCTTCCTCTTCGATCCCTCATAACTCTCCGAGGCGTCTGAAAAGAAGATGGCCCCGTGATCTCCTAATGTAGTCATATCATTAGAGTGCTACCATTGGGTAGTTACTCAGCAAGTGTATTCATGTCATTATATCAATTATGTCCAGATTTACTTGATGTATTTATGTAATACAGTTGTAAATGTCATAAAGAAATAAAAAAAAAAAAAAAAAAAAGATCTTCGCTTAACGGATATATTATATATTATGCACTGTCTCTTGGACAAAATTCAAGACAGTTATCCTTAAAACCAGTGGTGTGATAATTACCTTGATTTCCTCATTTCCTCAATGACGAGATCCTCCCAGAAGACTTGACTGTGTGGGGTGGGGATCCCAGACACTAAACACCCCAGGCAGCTGGAATTGGTCGCTACTTAATGGCTTGCTCAGTCGCTGTTCAAAAGCTCCCGGGCTAACACCGACCTAATTTAATATAGGTAAATCTGTGAATATTTTTTTTTTATTTGGTATTAATACTTGAACATTTTTTTTTAATTGTATTGGAATATCTGTACTGTAAAAAAAAAATAAAAATAAACAAACACATATATGTTAAATGTTAAAATTATATGTATAATTTAAAATCTATAATTATATTGTTTAATTATTCATACAAAAAAAATCGTATTTACTTTAATTATAGTTGAGTAGCCTCATATCAAAAGCTGACATCTGTCATTTTTAAAACCAATTTTTATAACGTAGCTTCAATTCAAACCAAATATAATTATTTATTTTCATGACTAAATTAAAAATTTTTAAACAAATTAATAAAAAACAGCTTGATTTGAACTTATTAAATAAAAGTTGACTTTGTAATGAAGCCACTCAATTAATTTATTAAATTTTTATTCATATAAACATCTGACAACGTTTCAGACTGTATTTGCTTTATGTCCAAGTCCAAAAATACATATCTGTAAGTTTATAATAATTATTGTTGATATATAAAACTTAAAAAAGATAGAAGAAATATTTTTCAAAAATCACTATTGACAAAATTTAAAACATATTAAATAACAATTGTGTGACAATCAAATCATAACCAAAATGTTTCATTGTTACTTTTTTGCAACTTGAGAAATTCCCAAAATTAAAATAAGAACTGGGAAAAAAAAAATAACAACTGATTTTATTAAAATATTAATATACCTACTTTATAGTCGTCATTAAATTTAAATTCGATACAATACCATTCATTTTCGTTAATTGATTTTTAGTTCTTAACTATTAAATAAGATATTAATTATTTTTATTATATTTCATTTCTGTAATTTTAAATTTTATTCATTAATTCAAAATGATTATATAAATAGGCAAAAACAAAACTGTATAGAACCTTTTTCTTCTTTGTTTCTAAATCTATTTTCGTTTTCGATTCGCTATTGACGAGCTTTAGTATTAGATATAATTTTTGTTATCAATAAATGTTGTTTGTATACAAATAAAATTGCAAATGTTTGTTTGTTCAAAATCGCTAATCTCCGAAGTTCATCAGCGATTGTTTGAAATTATGACACAAAGCTTCTAAAAAATTCAGGAGTGTTTTTATATACATTTCATTATCATTGGTCCTTCCATTTCAAAATAGCCAAAGAAAATGTGTATAGACGGCTCTGACGATTTTAATGAAACTTGGCTAAACCATTCTCTTTAAAGCTCTTTGATTTATATATATATAACATATTTGCCCGAAAAGAAGGTGAAGAAAATTAACGATGTAATAAATATTTTATTCGCGAATAATAATAAAGGTACTCATTTTTTTGTTTATTATACCCATGAGCATTCGAAGGCTTCCTGAATTGCCAACAAAATGGAAAATATAATCATGGAAATTGAAGAGAATTATGTCTTATAAGATATTTTTAAAAGACATTTTTCTTCGGTTTATATTTTTCAAGAGAGCTCTTTTATGAAAAATTTGGCATGTTGTTATAGTATGGGCTCAGTGTTGAGTTGAAACAATTAGTACCGACCGAAGGAGCAAAGTTAATTCGAATATTTTTTTAAGGAGAAACCAAAATGAGATTGGTATTTCAAACTTGAACCCTTGAAAGGCTTTCAAATAGGAGTTTTCATAACAATCCAAAAACAATTTTTTGGCTCACATTTTCACCGAATGAGCATAGTGGGCTTAAATAATGTTTTGAATAAAAAAAACTAAGGATTGTGCTTAGACCACACAATAAGAGTGAATAAATCAATTAATAATATAAAATATAATTATTTTTTCTATATTTACAAACTAATAACATGTACAAAATATACTAATCATAATTGTGTATAAATGTTTATACAAGGAGACGTCAATTAGTGTGGTATAGTAATTTTAATAATTTCTCTGATCGGTTTTCAGGAAAATTAATCCAATTCAATTTTTTTTAATGGAGATATTTAAAGTTGTATAAATTTGTCGAAAATCAGTAGGAAAGTCGTGTGAGTGGACTTAGCTTTCCAAAGTATTTAATACATATATATTTCTTTAACTTTTATTTCCCGAAATTGCTTCTCTTTTTTTATTCCTATTGTCTAAACTAGTTTCTTCCTATTGTCACTTAGTTCTTTCATAGTTTATATATAGCCATTTCTTACTATTTTTCACAACGAGAGACCGTTAATTATTTCAAATAAACCATATTAAACTAACTGTAGAGGCACTAGCGGATCCAGGATTTAATTTTGGGGGGGGGAGCTTCAGCCCGAAAGGTTTTTTTTTTTCATAAAAATGACGATAATTACTTTGGGAAAGATGAAAGAAACTAACTACCTGTATGAAATGGTGTTTAAATGATTCCTAAAGCCCCTTTAAATGTAATTACATAAACAATACTACTTTAAGAGATACTTTTTAAATAATTTTTTCAATAAAACATGGCTATATTTTACCATTTTGGGGGAGCTTCAGCCCGAAAGCCCCTCCCCCCCCCGTAGATCCGCCCGTGTGTAGAGGAAGCCATTTTGAAAATTCGGCAGTAAAGCTGAATCAGATTATTTCTATGAGGTTAAACTTACTTGATATTAAAAATCACTCAATGGTAAGTTGGTATTACGAGTTTAATCGAAATCATTAGCGTCGTTTTTTGAGAAAATTGTAAATTGTTTTGTATGCTTTTTCGTTTTTGATATGTTTACATACACACACTCACACACCTACTTACGTAATAAAATCATGGGCGACTTGGTTATTTAGGGACTTCAAAACGTGTATTTCCGTTGAAAACTCAGATTCGAAATTTGCCACATTTGCATTTAACTCCTCTAATTTTTCATTCAGGCTTAGTTAGGTTTCTCCTATCTAAAAAACTACAGTAATATCTCTATAGTGATAAGCTAATAAGTAACTGCAAGACTGTTGCGAGACTCTTGCGCAAGACCAAGACCATGACCAAGACTGAGTTTGAAAGACCAAGACTCTTTAAAAATCTAATCTTTTAGTTGATATATATATTTACTTTTAGTATTATTATTTTTGCGTTTATTTATTTTTATTTATAGCGCATAGTGTAAATGAGCTACTTTTTATAACTATTACTATTGTCCTTAAATGTGACAGATTGGAATATATCTTAATAATAAAAAAAAATTTAGATATATATATATATATATATATATATATATTTATGATTTCAGGAAATATGAAGATTTATTGGTTATTGTTGTTCTTTTCGTCGTTGTTACCTACGTTACTAGGTAACCAACTGTGGGCTGCCGAAATTACCGGAGGAACGCAGGTTGCACAGCTCTTGGCAGCATCGCACGGCTTCAAAATCCTCTATAAGGTAAGACATACCAAACCAAGGTTAGCTATTTATATAATTATTTTATTTTATTTTTATAATGAGTAATAGTATCTTACATTTTTAAAAAAATCTAGGGAAGTAATTATACCAATTATCTTACTTCATAGCAACAGAAGAACGGAGGGCCCCTCAGAAAATTGGTTTCAACTGAAATTTCGTCACAAATAGCAAGGTTGAAATTTATTTCGTGCCAGGCCACCATAATAGATCCCAATCTTCCCACTTTGGTTAGAATAAGTTCTTTTTGTACCTCTAGAATAACCAGTCAGAAAATTAAATGATGATTTCCCGATAGACGAAACGTCACAAAAATAAAAAAAAATGTGCTGAAGTTACTTTCTCAGTTTCTTAATAAATAACGTAATTTTGTCTTAGGTACATATTTACAACTGCAGAATGTATTTTTGAAATATGACAAGTAATTAATGAAATTATGAATAAGTCGATGAAAGATTTCAATATTTTCATAAACTTAGATAATTAAAAATTGATAAAAAAAAAATTAAACCATCTTTCATTTCCTTATCGTTTTAATCTGGAAGAATAATATAAAAGTTCATTTCTGAATGTGAAAAGTATAAGATTTCATAAAGATGAAAACTCAATGAGTGGAAAATCCTTAATTGGTAAGCTTAAAACAATGAAGGTTGGATTATGAGGATTTTAAGATCTAAGTCCTTCCAAAACGAAAGATCGATTCTTATGACTGATCCTAAGGTCACTACTGTTTCTGCCACTAGCGGATCCAGGATTTAATTTATTTTTTTGGGGGGGGGCTTCAGTCTGAAAGATTTTTTTTTCATATATATATAACAATAATTACTTTGGAAAAAGAAGGAACGATACCAAACACCTACATGAAATTGTGTTAAAGTGATTCTTGAAGTCTTATTAAATGTAATTCCTCGAACAATAATAAGTTTTTTCCATAAAACATAGTTACATTCTACCATTTTGGGGGGCATCAGCCCGAAAGCCGTCCCCTCCGTAAATCCGCCTGTGGTTTCTTCCTTAGTTCATTAATGTTTGTAGAAACCAAAAAAAAAATGTATTATAATAATTTTATTATAATAATTGGACAAGTCATCTGTCGATTTTCCATTTTACTAATTATTTTATTTATTTAAATTTTTATATTGCCAATTTTAATTTTCTAATACAAAGCTTGAGAAACAATTATATAATATAAAAATTTGTGTTTTCTTTTCTTATTTTTTATCGTTAAGCAAAAACAATATATTTCATTAGATTTATAGAAACAACTGAATCACATTAAACATTTTTTTTTATGATTACTAATCCCCAAATACAATGACATATTAGTATCTGAGGTAGTCAATCTGAGATATTCTTAAATCAGAGGTTAAAAAAAAATTATAATGCTATTTTATGTATATGAAATAGTAGATGTATATACACAGGCGGATCTACGGAGAGGGGACTTTCGTGGTGAAGCCCGCTTTCCCCCAAAAATGGTAACATGTAACCATTATTATTATTGTTCGTCTGATTACTTTTAATTGAACCTCTAGAATCAATTAAACACCATTTCATATTATTAGTTAGTTTTTTTCTTTTTCTTTCTAAGTAACTATCATCATATATTTAAAAAAAAATCTTTCGGGCTGAAGCTTTCCCAAAAATAAAAATCCTGGATCTGTAACAATATATATAAGTAAAAGGTATCTAGAATACTAATATTTGCTTAAATCTAAAACAATTATTTTCAACAAATACATGCCTTAATATAAATGAGTAAAATGTCCAACAGGAGAAATAAAATAGGTATTAGATTATAATTGAAAACAAAAAAAACAGTCACACAGCCTAGTGCTTTAAAATTGAGGGAAAATAATACATAACTCGTCAACTTATTGATAACTCTAGCATGATCACCACCAAAAAAAAAAACTAGGTGTTAGGATGTCATGGGGATATATAACCCATACATACATTCGTACCTTTTCCTGTAACCACATATGTATGTATTTTTTGTTTGTGTATAATAACACTTGATTGTTGACAGTAAATGACCGAGCTCACACAACAAAAGATTGATTTGAAACATTTCTTAATAATATTAAAGAACATAATTTTTGTGTCACAAAAATATACAAATTGTTTTTTAGGGAGAACTTATGTAATTATTTATACAAATAGTCACAACTGTTTATGTGTACACAAAAAATAAATTAAAAGATAGAATGAAAGCAGTAGATTTTTTAAAAAAAAAATACAAGATTAAGCTGTCAAAAAAGCAATTCTCAAAGGGTAAAATAACTGAAATTTACATTTAAGCGAATTCAGGAAGGAAAAGAGCTTAAAGTAAAATTAAAGCTTTTAAAATAAATATTTGCTAAGAAAATGTGTTCTATTTCAGTTTGATAATTCCGAAATATCTTAAACACACTTAAGCACGCAATACATTAGCTTCAAATATTGTCACTAATTAACATTTAGAATGTTTGAATTTTAATTTATTTTTACTAGACGGCCCTTGATAATAATATGAATAGTATGTAGTTGGAAGGTTTTGATATTAACTAACCAAATGATCAAAGAAAAAATCAAGAATACGTTAAGTATAAGTTGATAGATTAATAAGACAGATTCTATTAGTTACATATTACAACATCCGAAATAGGAACGACTTAGTGTTGAATTCCTAGCATTTGATTTTTTTTTTTTTTTCTTTTTTTTTTTTTTTTTTTTTTAAGAAAATGTATAAGTTATGCAATGTTAATAGCTAGATATGGTTTATTCTTATATATATATATATATATATATATATATATATATATATATATATATATATATATATATATATATATATACCATATATATATATATACCACTAGCGGATCCAAGATTTAATTGGGGGGGGGGGAGGCTTCAGCCCGAAAGCTTTTTTTTCATAAAAATAATGATATTTACTTTGGAAAAACAGAAAGAAACTAACTACCTAATTAAATTGTGTTTAAGTGATTCCTTAAGTCCTATTAAATGTAATTACACGAACAATAATACTTTAAAGGTATTTAAAAAAAAAAAAATTTCCATAAAACATGGTTACATTTTACCATTTGGGGAGGGGGCTTCAGCCCGAAAGCCCTCCCCCTCCCCGTAGATCTGCCCGTGATATATACAAATAGAAAATGTAATGTAACAGTTATGTCCATATGGATTGATGAGTATGCTGTGTATGAAGCAACCCTATAATAGTATGGCAGCATTACTTTCAATAAAGTATTTCTCTTCCTGTTCGAAGAAATTGACCAATTCAGAGACAACTATTAATAATTTTTTTTCTGTTATGGATTTTCCCGGGTCGGTGGGTGAGGGCGAGGAATTTAAAATCCCCTCTGGCAGCGGGACGCGAACTCGTACTTTTTTTCAATCTCAAAACTTGGTTATCTGGTTGCCGGCAAACTCGCGGTGCTGTGCACACAAGTAAGCCCATTCGGCCACCCCGCCCCCATAATTATTAATAAATGTCACTTAGCAATGTTTTTGAAGCAGAAAATTCTTTAGGCTCGTTTTGTACTTTTTTTTGTGGAGAGTGAGTTAGATTGAGCCATTCCACGATCTCCAATGTGTAACGCTCGGGTAAAGTCGGCTGGATTCGACTAATTGAAGGGTTTCTGCATATGGATTAAAATATCTCAAAAAATAAAAAATGGACCTACATACTGAAAGCCAAGAATTGTTTAATCATTTCATGCTCTTTGTAATGAGATATTATTCAAAATCTTGCCGTGACGCAGTGTTAGAGAAGCTAAGAGAAAAAAAATAGTGTCTAAAACCAAATGATAACGAGTTTTGTGGATTAAAATATCTCAGAAACTAAAAATCTGATCTGCATACTGTAAGTGAGGAAAATGTTCAACATTTCATCCTCTTTATAATGAGCTATTATTTATAATTTATATTTCATATTATTAATCTTGCTTTGTTGATTTTTTTTCTTCTATGGTATGGTCGAAAGCACACACATTTTTTATTTCTATTAATTAAGATTTTGGAATACATTAGGCAGTTGTTGCTGACCTGGTGTGGAAGTTTATCCGGGACCATGTAAATCTCGGAGGTCACAGGAAGGATTTCCGCTAACTGGGATTGATGCTCGCTTAAGCCTCTCTAATTGGCTGCCCTTGTTCATTTTAGTTCTTATTGACAATCAAAGATCTAGTCAAAGTAATGTTTCCAAAAAAATAAAACTAAAGTGAGTGCTTTAGACCACACGATAAAAGTTAAAACATCAACAAGACGAGATTAATAATATGAAAGATAAATTATAAATAATAGCTCATTATAAAGAGGATATAATGTTGAACATTTCCCTCGCGTTACAATATGCAGGTCTGATTATTACTGCTCTACATATCATGGATGATAAAAATTCAGGATGCAGTCATAGAAATTTGTGATTTTTTATTTGTGTCGATGTTTCAACCCAAACATGTGGGTCATCATCAGGGCTGAAAATTTTAAAATAAATTCAGAGATATAATATTATACGACCGATAAAGGTAAATAATAAACTATAGTGATTAATAGTACATGAATCTTAACTATTATCACGATACACAATATTAAAAATGAAATATCTAAAAATTTATACAAACTAAAAATAATGTATATAATCCATTTATAAAAATTTGTAATATTTTCTCTTACTAAACGTGGTTCAAGCACTGAAGTCTTTCAAGAACCGACACATTTGGTAGGTAAATGAAAGGGTCGGGAGAGAATTTTTCAGATAGCAAAAATAAACATAGTCATAGAGAGGTAATATTTCTGTTTTTAGAATGTCAATAATTTTCCAACTAAATATTCAAGATATGTACAAGATTTGCGTTGTTTCTTATGTAGAAAACCGTATACCTTAAAAGACGAAGAAGAAGAAAAAAAAGGGTGCCTTCCACCCCTGAACTAAATGCAAGACACAGATAATGGCATATACCGATACGTGGAACAAA